CTACTCTCCGCCCATTCCTTGTGTTCGCTTCGCAAGCCGCTCTCCAATTCTACGTATGGCGATGGTAGTACTTGTAGTACCGTCTGAGATATCGATGTTTTGAACCAGTCCCCTTTGCTGAATACTGTTGATTGGAAGGAGTGTGCGCCGTTCGTCTCACAGGTGCAGCGCTGTTTGGTTTAACTCTGTCTGCCTAGTGTGTCAGCTGCCCGCAATTGCCAGTCCTCGATCGTCAAATGTTAGTCCCTTGGGATGGGTGAGTGAGCTTCGATTAACTGCTGTCCACATTAGTCGTCTCCCTCGCCTTAACTTCAAAGGGATGCTTTGGTTAGCGGTAGATAAAAGCTCTATCGACCACCTTAAGGTTTGTCAGTTTTTTAGTTCATAAAATGCCCCCTTGCGCCACATCGGAGCTTGACTGCCTGCGTAACTGCCTTTAGTCGCGAAATGAACCGCAGTTACTTCTATGTACTTCTCGTCTGATACCTGTTACCGCTACCGTCTTTCCATCGTAAGGTTGTCAAACTATAGTAGACCGTCAGCGTCGGAAACGATTTCTTGACAAACGAGTTTTTACATCGACTCCGCTGGCGGCCTTAGCCTCAGAGTTCAACACCACCATTATACTGGGATCATCGATATTTGGGCCGTCTGCTTCAGCCGCGCTCACATGGTAGCACCGTTGAATGAATGAGGTCGCTTATTTCAACAAGCTGTTTCAAAGCGTCGGAATGATTTTTCTCCGGTTGGTACGAAGACATTCACATATTTCTGTGCATCTGATCGGCCAACAACAGTATGGAATCCTCGTCTGCATTCTTTGAAGTGCTGTGAAGTGAGTATAGATACTTTGTCTGGCCTTAGCATGGTTCACGACACCCGTTAACCACCTAAGCGCCCCGCTGAGCTACATGCATCTGGCCACTAGCTTGTACTACGGAGTCATTCCGCACTATTTCCCCTGCTTTGTTCCGTGTCGCTGCACATCGTGCACGCCAACTTGAACTGCTGAAGTCCCCCTTTGGTGAAAATTAGCTTAAGTTTCTTAATTTACAATAAAACAGATGCTGTGAGTTTCATATTTGTAGCTGCCGTGTTGTTCTTATTGTGTGCCGCTGTTCGACCATGGAGGTCTGAATTCTAAGCCTTTCTCGGCTAGTACAACGGGTTCCAGAACTGGGTTATTTTGTGGGGATTAGTGTAACCACTTACCACTTGAAAAGCAATTTAATAATCCGGTTATTAAAAGGCGGACCCCTGCGCATCGATATTCGGTAGCTGCTTCTCACTCGTTGCAGGTGTGCTTTCAGTAGTCGCTCCTGTTTGCTTCCTAACTTGTTGCTTGTCTCACTTCACCTCAGAGGACGGCTAGGCTTATTTGATCGGGTTAGTTATCACCAGTAGCAACGTGAGCTTCGCCCAATGGTCCAGTCACACAACTTAGATTCACATTGTTCTGCCGAACAGCGTATGCACAACTATACCGCTATTGTCCGTGCTTATATTGCCGGTGAAACCCCGCTAATCGAACGGATCTGTTATCCAGCGGTTTGTCAGTGACCCAGCTGTTGCTATACCGGAATGGAATCGCATCCATTTTTCGGCAGATCAATATACAAGCTGTTCACCAGCTTTTATCTAGTAGTCATCCTAGATATACCGATGATGATAGTTTGATGGTGAGACTCATTTATCAGTTTTGCATCATTGTGGTGGACTGCATGATTTCCTCGACATAACTGCCGTCACCCTGTGTGGTGGTGGAACAGCGGATATTCGGTCAGCCTGGTGTACTGTTTATCGGATCGCTATGGTACGTCACTTTATTGGTCAACTCAGTTTGTATTTCAGTACGTTTTCCTCTTCCTGTCTGCTTCTATGTTACTCGGATCGGATGAGTACCATTATCCTGTTCCATATGTTCACAGGTGGTCGGATGGCATGTTCCCGTCGAGACTGTCACTCCAGCTATCCGTCTTTTACTTCAAACAAATTAAGCACTGTCTAACGCACCATCATTCAAATGGCATATAAGTGCTGTTGCTACCCACCAATATCCCACATTTTCTGACGTCACTGTTTACTTTCCCTTTTTAACAGACAGTTTCACTCGGCAACTTTGATTCCTTAGTTTCGGGTTTTGCTCCAAATCCTCTCAGCGTTATCTAATTTTGCGTACAAGTGACGTCACGAACTTTCTGTCACTCTTAATGTAATGAGGTACAACTTGGGGAGAACTGCAAGTAGATCCCAAATTTAAGTATACTTCAGTTGATATACAATTGGAATTTTCTATGTAGACCATAAAGGGTTCCCCTCATAACACTTGGAAGTGACTTGCAGAACCCATAAATAAAGGATACGGACCTTAGTGGCATAGTAATGAAGTCGTCGGCCGTTAACCACTAGACCCCGAGTTCCACCCCAGTTCAGGTTATTTCCAACTGATGAGTCCAAACGAGCATGAAACCGCTGGTCATGGGGTGTCAGTTCTGGCGGCGGCAACAACGAAACACCTCCATTTCGGATACGGTCCTTGTGGTTGGAATTACGAAGGTCTACTTCAAAGTAAACCGGTGTCTCAATAGAGCTTGCGTGTCGCAATCCAACCACACGACGGGTACTCCAAAAACAACTTTGGAAGGACTAGTGTACTTTAGAGTACGCCCTATAAAGCACGAGGTAGCCTTCTATATATTCCATTGGCTACCTTTCGTCCTGTATAAAAAGACATGGTCGAGCTTAGGTTCTTTCTAAAGGAATGTCTGAGTGGAACACTTTTCCTCCCTAGATCACTGTCTGAGTGGAAACGATCCCGGTTCCAGAGGCTTTACATGCGGGGGTTACAGCAACAATATGTGGTTACGCAGTGGGTCATAGCAATCAGCGCACAACCACAGGGTCCAGAGCACATGCGATGTAGTCTTCAGCATCATTAATACAGTGCACCAAGAACACCTGAATGGAAGTTGGTTACTACTGGGATAGCAAGAGGTCACCATACTGTGGGAAATTCTATAACCAGACTCGCAATATAGGTTTGCATGCGCCGCACTCTACACTCTATCGCAAATTGGCTTTGATAGCCCAATGTTTTGCTCCACGAATTTAGTACACCTTACTCCACGTGTGTCCGAGAACACAACCAAACTTCTCACAACATTAATATACTGACACCCGTGGAACTAAGCGTAAGTGAACACTTCGCTTTCGTAAGGTTCAGGGTGGTCGTCCCACTTGACTGACTTGGATGTGGCATTAAACCGGTTCTGGAGACAAAATCCTTGCCTTTAACCTCCGTTTTTCTTAACCACACGCCTGTACTCACCAAGGAAGAACACTAGTATGAAGTTACTGCATCGGTTGAGTGAGGTGATAAGCCGTGTGATTAGCCTAACGCTCCACTTTCATCGTTCCTTCTCAGTGTAGTAGACGATTTTACACAGTACAGTGTTCGGTCAAACGGGAACTGAATGAAAACTATGTTCCTACTCAGCTGGCCACATGCGTGTGAAAATTCTGATTCGCGTCTCGATGTGTTACTAGGGTTGGTGCAAAATGTTAGTCTCAGTCATCAGCATGATCTGATGAATTTCTAAGTGGACATAACCCTACCCGTTAGCCTGCAGTACCAACTGCGATAAGTTTGTTGATGAGGAAGCAGCCATTTATGTATCGTTTCCGTTGTCTATTTCACTACTGAAGTTGGGAGAATTTCCCTTGCAGTCCACACTATATTGCGGTTCAATGATCAGGATGCTTTAATGTCAGGTTCTTTCATATGACTTGGTGGATCTAATCGTTTCTTTCGTTTTTTTTTCTCGATATATGCTTACCGACGGTTACTGTCACCGACACTCATGCCGACATCTCCGGTGGTGGTCCCACGCAGAACATCGTCGTTTTTTAGGTTCAGCCCCGGGGCTTCTGTGTTACTGCAGTACTGTAAATCAAGCGGCAAGATTTTGAGGTCCTTTCGTCTTGTAATCCACTGTTTCCATTACGGATGGTGATTACCCACCGCTGGGGGTCATGTATGTATAGCATGCGACTACCTATTTACTGGCCGGCATCAACACAAACCCTCACCTCGGTTGCTTTACTTAGCATTGTCTGCCTGAGTTGGTACTAGTTTCTAACTTGATGGTGGTAACTTTCTTGGTCCGTACTATGACTCATGCTGCTTGCGAGATGATTTGGCAACATGGCGAGTGTATTTGCTTTCAGCGCACGAGTTCTGCAGTGACCCTTGTGTTGAAGCACAATCTAGTGACATTTGTTTGTATGAATTTGAACATATTCATCATAGGTTGCATTTTAGCGCTGGTGGGAGCCAGTGGATTTTATCGGTCGATCTACTTCACCCCCTTCTTGAGTCCTAATGACTTTCGCTGCAGCTGCGACACAACTGTAGTCTCGAAACGTCGCAACAGCTACCTGTTAGTTTCCACTGCGGGCGCACCTGCTTGGGGACTTCCAAATTCAAATGATGCGTCTGCGATAATCCTCATCATCGCGACCGTATTCCGGTTAGCCGAACGCCAGGTGGACGCTCTGAATTAAATGAGTGTGCCCTTGTAAATGGTTTCTGCAGCCTACTGGTTATCATCCTTCTGGTTATGCACAGGTTGCTTATTGTGTTGGTTTCCCGTTACTCAAGATATATCATCGCTGTACACAATCGAACTGATGAAACCCGACCAGCGGATCCCAACAACTTGATGAAACCGAACATGTGGGCGTTTTTCAGACTAGTCGTCCTAATAACCTCTATACTGGAATGCGTTTCAGTCACTGCAAATGAAAGCGAAATATTTGGTGGACAACAAGTTTGATGAAGATGCCACAGTCAGGTCGTTCTTCGACTCACATGGTCTTATTTAGTGTGCTCGGTTAAATTCCGATAGACAAATCAATCTACGTGTGTACAATAGCAATGATGAAATTGCTACGTTCTAAAACCTATAATTTTTTGCTCATTGATCTCTCTGTTTGTCAAGCCTGAACGTATTTGCCTCACAAGAACAATCATCTGGAGCTTGGTGTCCGGGATCACCAATTCAGAACCAGCTCAGTGAGTGGCTACAGGTCACGTTCGACGCCCTGAAGATTATGCGAATTATTTTCACCGAGGGTCGCGGGCGCAATCACGTAAGTGACAATCAGTTCTGCCGATGTGACTTCAACTCTTGTACTTGGTTAGGATATTTTTATGTGAAGTTAATTGCCAAGCCGAGTCAATTTCTCAGACCCAGGCAAGATTTATGGGACGTAGCTGTATAGGAATTGGTGAAATTCATAGGGTTAGATTTTTAGCTATTACGCATGTTCCGCAGTACTTTGGCTGCATGGATGACCAAGGCAGAAGTCCTTGATGAGTCAGGATCAAGTTGTCGGACGTGGTGGGCAGCTATTTAAGTAACATAGCACAATTTTAAATGCCCGTTCTTTTGAGTTCGAGATGCAGACTCAATTTGGATCGAATTACTTCGAAGTAAAAATCAGTCATTCTGATCGCAGGTTACACATATTTGGTGTCGCTTACCACCAGCGATGTGGTACTGCCCTCCACCACCCCGTTCTCATTCCTACCATCTCTGACTTGTGTTTTTCAATCACATACCGGTGTTTAACAGAAGACATGATACTACGGACCCGATTTCAAGCCCATGTTGTCTCTACTTGCTGGGAAACATGAAGGGCGCCTACGGTTGTAGGGAGTTGCGTTGGGAGCAAGCTGTATCGGAACACAACCCTCTGGGCCAATTTTCGTTAAATGCCTGATCATCACGTTTACATTGTCTTACTTATCTTGCTACATTTCCTGTCGGCTCACCAGCCCTCCATGGGTCTAAATGGATTTTCAGGCGATTCACTTCGTTACCTTAGCACGGTTCTTTTTGTTACTATGGTCTAATGCAAACTGCAGAAACCACAACAGCTAGGTCAGTGATTGTGTTTCTGTATGATATATGACCTGTCATGGTTTGGTGTGAGGTCGGGTGATGGTGTTGTAGATTACGCACGCATTCGGACGTCCTTCAGTTAGACAACAAATGCACGCGGGCCTGTTTCACATGGCGTCGGGTGCGCGGTGCTTTGCCATGGGCTCTGCTGCAACAGAAGTATGAATAATTGTTGCTCCTAGACGATTCAGACGGTTCGTTGTTGGATCGTCCCACTGCGGGTTTCATTCAACGGATACGGTAATCACCGTATTGTGAGCAACCTTACTGAACTCGCATAAGCCATTATTTCGCTGAGTTATGTGATGGTATTGCGACCGCGTAGGCATCTCTTTCAAAATAACCATGCTTTAAACCGCATTCAACTACAGTGAGAAAGGAGTATCTTAGTGACACTCTTTTCTTTTGCTCAAAAGTGTCGGTATAAGAATCGGCGTTTTTGGACCGGGAGATATACATTCTGCTGCGCGTGGTATAACACACATTCGCAAAGCAGTTCTCAGAGTAACTTCAGTTAGTTAACAAGTTTTGCTTCGTTACCATTGCTCGGATTACGCCAGTCGCGATGTTACAAATTTGTGGTTGCTCATCTCCCTCTTGCCAATCCCTTAGTTGAAACGCCCACTTGCATTTCGAGTTGCATGCTGCGTTTCCTGACCTGCACTACCATTCCGACTGTTCGGAGTCCTTCCAGCGTTAGCTGTGCCAGTCCGTATAGACTGCGTTGTTGCACCCTCAGGTTTAGCCTCATTCTCTGAGAATCATCACTTGTGCGGTTACCTGAGCTTCCTATTAGTGTACGGACTTGACTGGCTCATGTTGTTGTACGACTAGCTACTTACCACTGAATCGCTCGTCGTAATTCCTCCCACAAGTTCCAGTTCACAATTGCGTCTTCCACCATTATCAAAATCCGACTCCTGACTGACTCTATCTTACTCCCACTCGCAGGCGTACACTTGTTTTCACAGACTTATCTGGCCGGTTGACTTCGCTTACATGTTCTCTCTGCCAATGTCAGTGGCGCCTGTCAACAATCCCTGCTAGTGTGTTGCCATGGTCACCGCAGCTTGTGTATAAGCAAACAAGTGCGGCCATTCGATCACTTGTGTTTAGTGACAGATGTCCGCAAAGCGACCACTTTTGACCTTAACCAGTGGGTGATCTTGAACGTTGATGTGAATCTCGGACGGTTTTTCCCGTGTTCAATGTCGGGAGCCATAATCTTACGTCCCGGTACTGTCTACATTAACTCCTCCAGGGGGACGAAACCAATATTGACGGACGGCACCCCTACGCAGCACCTGTAGCTGACGATTCCATGGGCACAGACACCTTGTAGAATTCCTTGTGATCGGCACTATTTGCTGAGGCATTTCACGACAGGATCATCACTTCTGAAACCGTAGTATTTTACAGCTTTTAAACACTGGCATTCCTAGCCTGTGGACATTCGGACCCGCGTTTCACCTTTGGGGTTCTCGGTGTTAGGAAACATTGGAGGCATGATAAGCGTCTGCTGTTATATTCATCCCATCAATCAGGTGGCCCTAATAACAGTTGCATCATACTAACACCGTTTTTCTTCCTTCGAGATTCGCTAGCTCATTTTGTGTTTTGTGCTGTCCAACCCACGAGATGCTCACGGATCTGCTTTTCATGAAACAGCTGACCCTGCTGGATGGAGACGTCGTATAAGCCCCACTTGTGTTCCTCCTAACGTGCGGAAGTGGCAGAGACAAACTTTCATACATGAACAAGAGGCATTACTCGCGACGTCACCGGGTTCTTGCTCACCAGGGCACCTAAAGTGAAACGAAAGTCAGGTCTAAGAGGTGTCCTAAAGCTTGCTACATAGTGCAGCATCGCCGTCAAGCTAGGGTGCGCATGCACTCGGCTATGAACAAGTATTAAGAGTATGCGGTTATTCACTTCCTGTTTTGCCACACTCAGATTTCTTGCCACTTCGATTTCACCTACTATGTAAGCATAACAACTCCGACGTCTGGCTTTCAAACCACCCGTGACCAGCCCGGAAAGGGGCTATAAAAGTAACAACACATGATTCGTTATGTTGAGTGCGAAATTGGCTGTCCGTCTAGAAAGGTAGCAGCTCTTTTGCCTAATCTAGCCTTCAGGATAATCGAGAAAATGCCGCTCCCAACAATCCACTAAGTTTTCATTATGGCCCAGTGGCATTAAATACCATGTTGCAGTGGGATAGGTCGCCCCGAATACAAACACGGGAGAATGAATTTTCATATTATCCGCTGCGATAGTTAGAATGACAATTCTTAAACACGCATTTTTGACCGAATTACTAACAAAATTTTTTCTCTCCATCCACTCAATTTACCTGCTCTTGTCGCCTTGCTATCAACCTTGTCGTGAAATCAGAACGCATACGTTCCGGCATTTCTGTTGAGGTATCAACGCCAGGATGGTTATCGATGGTACGATTACCGCATGCGAAATGGGACCAAAGTGAGTGTTACTCGTTGACCTGACCATAGATCTCACTGATATGCACAATTCACCCACCTCTCTGCTCCCACTTGGACTGCACGATTATTGCATTACGTTCAAACCACCTGGTAACACAGTTGTCAGAACCAGGTGGTTTTTCATCAAACCTGATTTTTTTCTGACCTTCATCCTGACGGTCCTCAATTCAAACACACGATACAATGCTACTACTACTACTACTACTAATAATAATAATAATAGTGCATATATCTCGTGGTACCGAGAAACCGAATCCACAAAGGGACGGACCATATTTACATTGCAACATGCCCAGGCATGCGAGGCTGTCAGTGGATTGGGTTTTTAAAGCTTTACAATACGGATGTTTTTGCGAATATTTTCATTTGGTGCTTTTGTCGCCGTATGCTACCAATTCGCGGGCATTCTCATTTGGTTGTTCCCAGTGCAGCTTGGTGGTGCCATGATGGTGGCGGTTTGATGGGGAAGGATGGAAGGAGTGTGAAGGGATGAAGCGGTTAGAGTCACCAATCAAAATCAGATACATAATACACAATCTTACTTAATAGACTGGAGTAATACAGTTGGACCTATTTGTGAGTAGCAAGTTAGCGAGTTGAGAAAGTAAGGAAAAGACTACCTTAGGGTCACTCTAGCGAATCATCAAACTCAAGCTGCTTTAACAGAATAATATAGATAGCATTCACATCGTGGGGAGTTAAAGCATAGAATAGTGTTTAGGCATTCCTAAGTATAATTATGGAAGCGACCTAATCGAGATATGTTTTGGGCTGCCACATTGCTGAGATGCTGGGTGAGCTCAGTTACATTCATTTCAGCTTTCACTTGTGAGTGGATATTTACGGCGTGCATGACTATGTACGGTAGCGGTAATGTTGAAACGGGAGAATTAAACAGATAAGTAGACAAAGAAAAAAACACCTATTGACTGCGAAGTCAGACTTAATCAGTGCATAATAGTCTTGTAGAAGATGCCAAAGGCAGGGAGATTAGGAGCGTGTAATAGTTAGCCGATTTTTGGCGTAGAGAGGAAAGGCATCACAACTACGATCGATGATATGGTCTAAGGAATAAGTTAATGGGAAATATGGCTAAGACAGAAGGAAGGCATAGATGAAGTAACTAGTAACCAGGAGCACAACAGATTCGATGCAGAATGAAGTAGGGTAAGAAAGAACAAGTGAAGTACTACGTTCATCCGTGGAGCCGTCTCCCGGCGACCGGCTTCCATGTGGGGTAGTCCCTCGAGAGATTTCACTCGCAGCTCCACGCCCCATCTGGTCATGTGTCGGTGTGGTTTAAAAGCACGCCAGCCACTACCGATTTTACTCATCATTTGGGTAATAGTTTTTCATTAAGCTAGTTATTCAAGCCAGTCAGCCCTTTCTCCATTCCTAGTTTTTTGCGTGCACGATGACCGGGATCACCGGTTAGCGTCAAATCCTATTAAGTGTGAGTTCAGCAGTTCAGATTGGACTGCATTTTTATTGTTCGCACACTTTCAATATTCAACAGTGGGCGTTTTGGCGTGGGTATACATGTGAATCGCGGTCCAGTACATTGAGATTGCGCGTCGCAATCCAATCACACAACGTGTAGTCCAAACTTGATCCTCCAATTAGTCGTTTACTGTTGTGCCAAGCGTAGCCCACCTTGACCAGGTAGCCAAAGGGGCAGAGTTTTCGGCTACTATTCCAATGGTCGCGGGTTCGATGCCTGCTATCTCCACCTGATGAGATGAAATTACATCGAAAAGTGTCGTGGTTGTGCAGTGTTTTCGGGCGGGCAACACCCTATTTCCATCTGATTTTGCTTAGAAGTTCCAAGCTATCACCTCAGGAGATTGGCCAATTCGTGACCAACAGAATAACAGGAGCATAAGATGAAATAGTTAAATCAGGGACTCGAAATATTAACAAAATAAGTAGGCACAGTACATACCTCGCTACACTGTGGGATGTTATTGTTGTAACGCTTCTTCTTCACTTTTGTAACGCTTCTTCTTACCTCTGCTCTCTGCCACTGACGACTGTTGTACTGTTGTTAGCTGCCCTATGAGACTGCGACTGTCTGACTTCTCAGTCACGCGCCCAACCAACCGACGGAATACAGAAGATCAAGGCTCGGTAAATAGGGAGTCTATCTGCACCATAAGTTAACTGTATTTATAGGTAGCCGAAACATGCTAATTTAGGAGGTCAAGATCGCTCATTTTTGTGCGTCCGGTTTTCAGCCAGCGTGAGTGAGCTCCACTCTACGGGTTTATCATATTGACGGTATAGTTCGAATCGTTTTACGCGGACTGGTAATTGTTGGCCGATCAAATCTCGGTCGATACCCAACTTTAGCTCCGCTTACGTATCTATTAGTTATATGATTGGATGTGATAAAATATTGCTGAAGTTTGGAATAGCAGGTAGAGTTATTAATAATTTAGCTTCACCTTTCAAAATGCGACTTATCTGGATGCCATAGCACATTAGGATATTTAAAGTATAGGAAGGAAAGATAAAGCAAAAGATACTTGTTTTTGTTTCTCCACCTTTAAGAGGGACTTCACGGGCAGCATTTTCGATCGTAAGCCTAAGATATGCTGGAGTGTGGTGAGCCTGCATTATAGGTCATATATAGTTTGCACTTGATGAAATTAAGACATCTGTAGCCACACGAGGACCAAATGTTTTCATTTTATTCTGCATGGTGAGAAAAGCGCCGAAGTGGATTTAAAATTTGATTAGTTTCTCACTGACTCGTACTTTCAATGTTACTTTGTTCCGTATATGAGTATACCTTACCAGGTAGAAGTTGGAAAGCATCTTTAAGTTTTCATTATTTATGGGTAGTGATTAACCCCTTGTGGGATAGATTAAGGATTTTTGCAAGGTAAGATCTATTCCGGTCGCATACACCCGGCAATGTATACTATTGTAAAAGAGCTAAATTATTTCTCAAGCAGCGCAGACATAGAGGGTCTAGTTGAAAGCCGCGACAGCTGTCTTCATGGTTCAAAGTGGTGGACCGGCCAATAAGGAGTTTTGTGAACGAACCCTGAATGTTTTCTAAAACAATTCGAACCGTTCTACGCAAATGACTATGGATGATTGTGCACTACTCCAGCATAGGTCTCACGATAAGCTTAAACATTTCAAGCCTCGCCTTAGGTAGAACAAAGAATTTAGTGATATAGGCTTCCATTGTCCCTAAATCTATCTGCCTCACTCCTTTGGTATATACATTTGGCATCACATAGTTGGGAATACAATATCACCAGTCAATAGGCAGTACTGCACTTAACGTGTTCTGAAGAATTTCCACGATTAACAAAATCGCTGGCTTTTCTTCTTAGGTCATCCCTGCTTTAGGTGGTTCATCTTCTGTGTTTCGTGACTTAAACTGTTTAAGCCTCCTGCATATGTTTGGTGTGTTGCCTGCCTAAAATCTAAACGATGTGCACTCCTGTTCATTTCTACAAATTATATGCTTAGTCCCGGTAAACATGAGGATATGAATGGTGAGTTCTTTTGTTTCAGTTTGGTCAACATGCGGCCGTCCTAAACATCGCAACGATCACATTATCGCCACACTGGGTCTGTCTTCCCGGAGAGAGAACCATGAAGAAGTGTGACACCTGTGTCCAACAGCACCGTTTGCTGCGCGGACAAGCTGTTTCCGATTTATGACAGTCACGTGAAATATGAGTTGAACATCTGTCCCATTAACCGGATATGTTGATAAGAAGCTCTTGCGTGCTTACTTCGCTGAAAATGCTTGACGCCTGCACTTATACGGGTGTGCGCACGTTTCCCCATTAATTTTCTCCATTCCTAATTACTGACCTAAATGCACGACTTTCTTGTCGGCTATTCCATTGGCTTTCATTGTGGCGAGTGAGACGGTCATTTTGAATCTCTTTTATAGACCCCTGTTAGTTATTCGGGCACTTAAGTGAGCATACTTTCCAGTTCATCTTACTGCGGAGCGGTGTATCATGGGCTTTTTGTTTAAAGGATTTGCCCACATTTCTAGCATCAGCCTCAGTTGTAAATCAGTGCTTTGTTTTTATGCGTCACTGCCATCTAACAACACGAACTCTACTAATGTGGGATAACAAGGCAGATGAAATTTTAATAAACAAACTAAATACCTAAATACACCAAGCCGCACAGTGTCATGCAGCAGCACGCTCTACGTCGCTTTTCCTGGAGCCTCAGGTGAGCGACGCAATAATGCATGCTAGTAAATCACCTGGAGGGGGCATTTTATCATTTTGTCCTTCACACTAATAGTGGGAACAATTTGCGAGTATGTGCCATTCCAACTGGTCACGTCAACATGGTTTCTGGTTACCAAATCACCTGTCGTCTGAACCTTAGCTTAATCCCTCACACCTGCCACCATTCCGAGATATCGAATAAGAGCCGATCCCTATACTTCTTGTTTGTATCTAACCTTAGTTGCTCTACGCCAACCACAATGGTCAGACTATCGCAATCACTCTGGACCCACCAATCGTTGCGAAACGCTTCCGCCTCTACCCGTACAACGAGTTGGAACCACGATTCATGTGCCTGCGTCTTGCTGTCTACGGTTCCCCTTTTGATGGTGAGTGTGTGTATTGTGCCTACTGGTCTTCCGACAGTAACCTATGGGAGCAAACTGCATCTTTTGCATGTACTTTTAAAGTCCATTCGTTCCGCTTCGTACACGCAAGCCCACTGTCCATCTCTCGGGAGCTGCTAACTCATGCCAAATCACTCTCCGTTATTTTCACAGTCCCCGAAAATGCGTACCCTTGTATTCCAAGTAATTATATAGGATACATAAGTTATTTTATACAACCGTTTTTGTTTACTTCCCTGCAGACCGCTCCTCATGTAGTATTTTTAAAATAGTACATAAATTCCTTCGCACATTTCCCACTCAATGAGTATGGACAAAGTGAGCAAGCACCAAACCTGTCACAGCCCCGCACATAAAAGTGATCCTCTAATATTCACGAACTAAGTGGTACTAAGCGGCGTATTCGTTTTTATCTCAACGGACCGTGCTCACATTATTCTTGTCTACTCCTTATCTGATCAGTTATTTTACATATGCCAGGTTGTTGCGCCCATTTAAATTGCATGAAGTAGATGCGTGGGGAAGCTCAAATCGATAGATTGACAGGGATGAGTGAATAAAACCCCAATAGTTTAAAAGCATTAGGTTGGTATATTTTTGATGAGCAGAGCCACAACTCAATGGCTACACAGTATCGCAAAGGTTTTCTAACATCGAACACAACACAAGCATTTGCTCTGTGTCTTAACCTTTATTTTCCACATTTTGACCATTTTCTTTTTCGCGTTAAAAACAAACTTCCTACTGCAGTTGCTCTATCTGTGCACAAAACACGTTTAGGTCAATACATATCTGTATCAGAATTGATGTAATTTGGCTACACTGCTGTCTTGATTGCTCCAACGGCGGACGAATACTCATTGGTATCGGTGACTAAACAGCAACCGCTATTTAACGTTTGTGACAAACGTGGACTTCCTGTCCGACTTTGACTGTCTTTCCCAGGTACTTAATGGCACACCGAGCATTCGAGCTTTCAAACCTTGTTTTGAAGATTTAGACAAGTGGCACAGTGCCCTAGAAACTCCGTTGTGCTATTTCTGCTTAGATCTGTTGATACATCCAAATCCTGAAAGTTGGTACTCAACCTGGCTGTAGGCCGCAATGGATTTGATCGTATTCTGGAATTGGGCTATCCAACTTCTGCTTCATACACTGTCTTAGAGTTAAATTACTGCAAGGTGTGCAGTCATCATCAGACTGTTCCGTTTGTTTCTTCACCACGTTTAAACATCACTAATGATGGGTGGGTGAGATAGATGCATTACTGTGCTGCTCGGTAGACGTCTTTGTCCACACATAAATAAACAATGCGGAAATATGTTGGTTGAGTCATGGGCTACTAGGAAACCGTTATCGAAGCATGTAGAAGATGGTAACAACCTCGTCTGTTTCCAAGCTCCACATGCTCATCATTGGCTTCACCCGCAAGTTTTGACAGGCAAACGGTCATTCTGGGGTGCCGGATTAACTCTTGCCTACGCTTCATGCAGTCTTGGACGATTATTCGTGCAACAACTGCAGTTTACATAAAACAAGAGCTGTCCTTCATCGTTCTCTAACTCAACCCGTTGGTAATCTATTCACCCCTGACCTCAGCCACCTGGGCAAAGCGCATCCATTTCAAAATCGGAGACGAATTGGCCTGCTTTGCCTCCGGCAACTCGGTGGCCTTAGAGTACTAATTTCCATCGACATCCCACACGTGCTGGGTTCGAGTCGCAGTCCTCCTAGATATACCTGACGAGTGCGAACTATTACGAAACCAGCGTGAAATGAGGTGTATTGCGAACGGGTAGCACCCAATATTTGTCCACAGGGATGAATCTATTCACATTATGGAATGGGCGGTTGGCCCAAACGGCCGGTTCTGCACAATTTATTCTAACTGAAGCTGAATCGCTTTGTCGATAAATATCTGCGCTTGGTGACTACTGGCATCCATTCATAATTTTGTTGCGCTGTGTTTCCATCCATCCGTTAGCTTGTTTAACTTCGACTACACTGTCTGTCGACTGTCATCCTTTTGCTGCACCTGGCCTTCACTCCTATTGTGAAGGCGAATGTGTCTGCGCTTGAAATTTTCATTGATTCTTTCTCCGCGTTCATCTAATGTCCTCCGAATGTGGCTTCCGTAAACTTCTCAGTCGTTTGACAAGGTGGACACCTTTGTTCACTCAGTGAGCGGTACACACCGCTGCTCACATGTCAGTGTTTGCTCAAGCTTGTCGGCGCACTTCACTCCGCCTCCTCATATCCGGCGCGTCGTCAAAGCCAGGCCGCATGACCCTTGTTAACCGCGTTAGCCATTCCCCTCCTCACAGTGCTTATTTAGCTGAAGGTGTGGCAAGTAAACATGTGATTCACGTTTGCGCTGATACATATGTCAGTTAATGACGCACCTTAGTGTTTAATGTGGATAGTCATGATGATGATTTTCCAGAAATATCAGTCACATCTGGTCCTATAAAAATAGTCATTCACTATATGTACAGATCGAAGGATTGATCATCCAAACGTTATGTTCCCTCCGTATCCACTATACAGATGGTGTTATAGAATATGTCATTCCTGAGGGAGGAATCTACCGGCTTGACCCACGGCTCCATGTCGCCTTGAATGACACCAGTTATGACGGATCGTGTACTCAACCTTCGGTTTCCAATAGTGCAAGTGATCCCAGCACATCCAGTGACCTTCGCAGGGCGTACTTTCACGGAGGACTAGGACTGCTGATGGATAAACAATACTACGATGGGCAGCTCCCCGAGTCTGAGAGCGCTCACAGTGTGGTTGGTTGGTTTCGTCGTCAGCATACTCCTCCTTCTGATCGAATCACAATGACGTTCATCTTTGACCAAGGTATGTGTTAAATAACATCCAGTATGCTGAGCGTTCTATGAGCTTCACAGTACTAGTTAAACACTGCCCCAGAAAAACTTTGCTCGTCTGATCATTTCGTAGTCATACTTGGGTGTGTGGTAGTGTGAACGAATGTGACTCGGTGCTTTACATGACTCTGTGCTCAACATAAACAAATGTTTTCACCCGTCAAGGTGGCAACTAACGTTGAGGCCACCACAACTTCCTAATGATTGTCGTGGGGAAAAGTCTTGTTTCCCATATCGCATTCTGAAGCTGGGACGCATCTGACATTTTTGCAATGACTGCCGGATATCGTGAAACAATGCAAGACGGATCAAGAAGCTTGCGCTCCCACTCACAGTTCCCTTTTCTTCCATATTTATGAACATCATTGTCTAACTATTTCGGAAGGTCTTGTTTGTTTCCGGTTGTAAAATGAAGAGTGCACACGAGACGATTTGAATCCAAGTATATCTTTGCTGCAGTGTTATTAATTGAGCTTCCCTGGACAGCGTTGCATTCCACACTGAATGAATGTGTATGAGCTGCTTGTGTTATTCCTCCGCTAGGTTGGTACAGGTAAATTAACCCGAATCCGACGCGATTAATCGATTTAGTGCAACATTTTTCTATACCTTCGGATGTGCGTAGAATCAGGTGATATTCGACTTACAGACGGTCATTTCATCGTGTACTTCTCTGTGACATGATTCATCTCCCGGCGCACAGTTTTGTATACCGTTAGCTTATTCGTTAGCTGAAAAACCTGGATTTTCCGCACGGCGTTGAATGGATGTGCAATTGACCAGTGTGTCAATTATGATCCTAGTTCTCTGCTTGCCGGGAGTTAGGACGTTAAGTGCATCGATTTGCAAAGCTCTATTGCTCTCTTGTGTTATCAAGACAAGTGTCGTTTTCTTTGTTGATTCCGCGGTACGGATGTTAAGAACTTATGCTCATAAGCGCGAACTACTTCATTGAGAATACCAGAACCGAACTGACAAAGCGCCTACGTTTGTAGATAGAACGCAGCGCAGTAAAAACCTTAAAGCACGTAGAAATCGGCGCATCCACGGTGCTTAGAAAAGAATTCCATCCGGTAGAACACGCACTGTTACAGGAGGACAATTTATTATCGAAAACTCGACAGTACGTCTGTGGCCGGATTCGAAAACACTTGACCGTTGAGTGGGCTTACGGAAAGGAGCTAACGGCAATTAGGTCTATCAGCTCTCATGTGACAAAACATGATTAAGAAACATTATAAAGCAAGCGTTCAATATGCTCCCGTAGGTAATCATACAGTTCCAGACGTCCACAAAAGATGCTGAACCAAAGCAGCTAATCGCGTCAACTTCAAGAAAATCCACTTAAAACGACCTGATGAAGGCGTAACAAAGGCAGCTCATACTTCCAGCCTGTGGGTACCAGCAGTCCAGTAAAACTTTTTGGCAGATTCTGTGGAGGCTCAGTGCTACGACAGTTTAACTTGAAGGAACAAAGTATGATTGAATGTAATCGTTTTGTGTACGTTTGTCTATTGAGTGATACATCACATAGAGTGAACACACATCACATACACAAGCACAAAACACACGTGGGTCATTATGAATTGACAGTGTAAATGAGTCCGGAAATCCATGTTTCCAGATGTAATTCACCATCAGACGAGTGATCTATGGGCAAGTGAAGAGTATAAATCAACTTCATCCTGTCAGCGCTCAGTGAAGTTGTTGGAATGTATAAACTAGAATGCAATCTTTCGCTGACATTTCACCAGAAATCGCTGCGTCCACAACATGCTTTTCGGTCGCGAGTGGAAGTAGGGTCATAGTGCATTGAAAAAGTAACATTGGACATGTGATCATAAGCATGGCACCGGTTAGATCAGTTTGTCCTGCTGTTTATGCACCACTCATCTAGGGCACCCAGTGGTAAAGAGTTGAGGAGGTTATGTGTCCCAGAAGGAATCAGTGGCACCCATGCTGTTTTATTGTACTGCACAAAGATCCAGTGGGCACGGAAACACCATGATGGTTAAAGAAGGAAGCGTGGTAACTGATTCCGGTGGCAGCAAAGTACGACGATGGTCGCAGCACATGAATAGAGAAGGAAGTATAAAACAGAGTGCAACCAGAAGCGTATAACTGGCAAAAGTCAAACTCAGGTAATTTTAAAACAAAACGGGCTATTTGTACCTAATCATTAAACGTCATCATTATACACGTTAGCTGCAGGTGGAAAATATATGAGCTATTGTGCCACAACACAAACGAAAAGAAAAATACGACACAAGCACGCCGGTAACGGATGGACGTAGTTCTGGAGAGCTAACATTCGGCTATATTGCCACAAAAATGGAGTTATAGTATACATTTGTAACACGTGTACATACGCGGATTAGGGTATGAATATAACAGCTATTGCTCACCAAATTTATTGTTCTCCTTTGATATGCAACGAACATTACCTAATGGATGGCCCGGCCGCCGATATGAAACGAAAACGAAGCTCAAAATGGGTTAGACTTGTCCCTACAATACTGTCTGTTTTTACACGTTGTGTTATTGATGCAGCCATACTGAATAGACTAAAAAAGTCACTTATTTTTGTGATGCAGTTGCCTTGTCTTTATTGAACTTGTTTTTATTTCGTCTATTTCTGGCAGCATATTTGTTTGTACTCCGGCTGGTTAATCATTATTTGGTATGCATTGTGCTAGTCATGTACACCGGCAAGGGGATGACAGCCCGGTTCGTCAACCGTACCGTGTTTGGCATTAAGTTCACAGTGCATTGAGACAAGGAACGCAATCTTTCCCGAGTGTTATTCACCAAAACAACAGAAGGGTGGCGACAATCGGGGGCATACACAAAAGGAATATACAGTAGTTCATCGCTGAATTCCAACAGTACCTACCCGGAATTTTACCTGAAATGCTGCGTGTAGACCCTGTTTAGAGTACTGAACCATAATGCGATGCTGCAGAAATGATTAAAAGCAAAACATCTATTAACATCATTTCCACTCAGGTGTCATACCCTCGGTTTTTGTTCGTATGTACCATAACTGAAAGGCAGCTTGTACCCAGGCTGTTGGCGGCGGCCTTTTTGTCACATATGGAAAACACATTTGAAATGGAAGCTGGATTAACTAAACCACGTAACGTTAAATGGTAACTGCAACTCCGGTAAAAGTCGTCAAAAGCAATCGACAAAACAGACTCGAAAAAACATGGAAGTGTCGCATTAAAAAGCCGATAGCGGACCTCTGATATGAATACATAGTCCGGAAGTGCAAGAAACGTTTGATGGGAATACAGGAATATTACAGAACCCGAGCATAATCTTCGGTCCCAGTTCATATGACGGAATACTTAAGTTTGAGTGAGGTGTAACAGAAACCCGGACGAATCGATAAGTACACGTAGTAAAGCACTTTCTCAAATGTTAACATCCTTGAAAAATTTACCTTTGTATTCATATCGACCCGAAACAAGCTCAAGCGTATTGAAAGTATGGTATGCATGAACCCCAAACTAGTGATTGAACGGTGAATGGGACAGCCTGGGTAAGTACCCCTAGTGGACTCATCGCACTAAGTGAATTTGGGTACCTCGCTCCGAAACGCGCGATCTTCCTTCATCTGGTGGCAGTCAGGTACACGTCTAATCATGACGCCGTGATGGACAACCAAGGCATCAACAGTAGTCGCATTTGGGCTAAGGACACTGCGACGGTCACTCGACCCCCTTACACAGGCTCGAACCCACGACTTCGGATTACAAGGCAGGTTCGTGATTCTTAGGGCTACGGCCGGAAGGCCGATTATTATTAGTTCACTTGTTATCACAGGAATCCCCGCGTTTTATACAGCCCATATAATGTTGTATGGTCAACTAATGATCACGATGCGTTCACCAACCTGAACCAAGCTGGTGGTAGAGCGTGCGAAAGCTGGTGTACGGCTCCACACTTGACCGCAGCCTCTTCCACCCACCGGTGCTCCTAAGCGACCGTTACTGCGGCAGGACTGCAAGTTTCCGATTTAGTTTGGACGCCTTTTATTCACAATTTGATGAACTTTTGACCAAGCAACTTCCGATGCGAATTTGTTAGTTTCTATAGCAGACAACTCTTTGTCCAACTGACTGAGCTAGTATACTCACGCAGTAGCATTGATATATTTTTAAAGGATAATTCACTATCCATGGTTAGCATCTGAGTGGCGTTGTTGTGTTTAGGGCGCACAGACTGGGCAAGCGAGCGCGCGTAAATAACGTCACCATTTCACGTTAGTTCGACTTGCAGCATTGTCCACTTTAGGATGGTGATACGGCCACATTACTAAAGACACAATACCAAAAGAGGCGTGTTTCCAATCGGATTAGACCAGGCTGTAGATTGAAAGTTGGAGAATGACTCATGGGATTGGCGTCGCTACCTCATATGCTAATCTTCCGCGACACGCGATAGAATCGCGTCAATTCAACTTAATTAATTGTCTTCACTACCGACATGTTTGGACCGTTTCTGTAACTAGGTGGCGAATAGTTCTTTCGCGATTGTACGAACAGTTCACTCTACTAGGTTAACACACCATAGATCATGATAATAAATGTTGACTGGAGCTCTTGTTTTTATTCGTTTCCGAGGCTGTTACTAATCATGGAGCTCCAACATTTCCTTCCAACCGTTGAGCGGCCGTGTATGCTATGTGCTACACACATCACTGCTGAGCACAACTCAGGTCTGAACGACGTTATCCTAGGGTTTCTCATCCTGGGTATTATGTCGTGATGATGATAACATCCCGTCCTCGCTCATCGAGCTTTAGAGACAGACGTTTCGGTAGGCCTTTGTGCAATCCACCTACTCAAGTCAACTCGAGCGGGCTTGCATCCCCAGTGGGGGTCAGTTGAGTGAGTTCATTTCAGTTGTCCGCTCTGGTTCAAGTCACTGAGCTACCATCGCCATGACAATCAACATTAACAAAAGTGGAACAGTGATAGGTGTGTAACAAAATGTGTTCATTGGGTTCATTTGGTTGTAGAGAACAGTTGGGCGAACCCTTGTCGGCTCCGTCGATTCCTATTCAATGTGGGATAACTGCGTGCCATGGTGTGACGACGTTCCTCGATGGCTCATCGAAGTTACAGCGCAAGCAGCAGGATCACAGCGTCTTCACTAAGTGTTCGTCTAAAAGACTGTTGAAACATTCCTCCGAAGATGCGTCAACAATTTCCTTTGTCAACTGTTCCACTCATTCACCACCCGTGTGGACTAGGTGAGGTCTGAGCGAGCATGGAGCCTTCGTGGTTTGAACAGCTTCCATTTGTGACCTCGTGTCAAGCACTCAGCTTTGGGGTGCAAGAGCGGCGGTATATCGTTTCCGAGTTCACCAAGAGGGATGCGTCTAGTGTAAATGAGAACGCCGCGGCGAAGACGGAACTCCATTGGAGACGGCTCCAGCTGATGAAGTCGGAGAGAGTAAGGAAGACCGCGGAACCTGATGACAGCTTTGGATGAATGCCTCTGGACGTTATCTATCAAAGAGCACTCAAACTTAAAGGGGGAAAACGGCTTGGTGCCCATATTTTAGTATGGGACGTGCATACGCGGTGTATAGATGTCGGAAGATCTTAGGAGTCATTCGGGAGAAGAACTTTCACAAGACACATAGAAGTCTCTCCAGCTACGACCTTCTTCAGTTTGTCCTGGGAGGTCCTAAGGTCAGAGGATACGATGACCCCGAGATCCTTTTCTTGAGAAGAAATCCACCAATGTGGTATTTGTCTTATGGGTCGCTTTTACCGATTGGAAGAACCGCACATTAATCGTGATTTACAGCTAACTGCCACTTGTTAGACCACTCGTGCAGCCTATCTAGGGACTCTTAATTTATCGGCATCGTCTAGGCTGCATGCTGTTGACTAGAGTTTAACATCATCAGCGCAGATCAAACAGTTGCTTTGAAGCCCACCCGGGAGGTCATTTATGGACATTTTGAAAAGTTTTGGTCCAATTAAGGATGCTTATGGAATTCCAGTTGTCAGTAGCACATGGGCCGATGTGATTTGATTGACATTTAGGCTGCGGTCTTTTAGGAAGTTAGCGATACAGGAGAGGACTTTTTCCGTCACACCGATCTCCTGATGTTTGATCAACAGCCTTTTGTGAGGAACTTTCTCAAAGGCTTTGCTGAAGTCGATGAAGGCCACGTCCATATGCTTCTGGGCATCTATGTTTTGTGCCAAGTTTCTCTGGCGACTAACAAATTGCAGACGCAGGAACATGCTTTCCGGAAACAATGTTGGGATGGGGAAGTTACGTCGTAGTTCTCACATTGTAGCTAGAGAGGGCGTTTGAGGATTCGTTCCATGGTCTTGCAGACGACGGATGTTAGGCAGATTGCGCGATAGTTAGCAGAATCTTGGTGATCTCCACTCTTGTACTTGGGCATCACAGTGTTTTCTTTCCAGTCAGTGGGTAGACGGCTGACTTCGAGGGAGTGATGAAATATTTGGCAGAGGGTAAAAACGATGTATTGAGCCATAGTCTTAAGGAATACAGGATGCAGCTCATCTGGGCCAGGAGAGGAGTTCAGCTTCAGTTCGAGAAGGAACTTCATCACCACATCAGGGTTGATTTCGATTTGATCAAAAGAGGGACAGTGTGCAGGCAGAGAGTTTCTGTGCAGAGAGGGCTCCACTGAGTAGACCGAAGAGTACTGCTAAGCTAATGTGTTTGCTTTTTCCTCATCCTCTTGCAGCACAGTACCTTCCTCGGAGAGTAGCGTGGGGATCCCAGTACTAGCCCTGACATTTCTTTTCAGGCATGAAAAGAGTTTCGTGGGACAAATTAGATATTCCGTGGCCAGACTGTGTTCGCACTGGAGCCGCTTGTTGCACTTTTGTAGGACGCAAAATTCTTGACAACCTTGTACTCCGAGTAGCTCAATGCTGGTTGTATGGTCTTGTAGTGATCGCAAAGTTTTCGTGGTTTTTTCACTAAGGATCTGATTTATCTGTCAATCCAAGGGGGCTTTGGAGTAAGCCCTGGATTTGCAGTTGGGAATGTGTTGTTCTATGAGAATCACCATCTTGAATCATAGTAGCTGCCATGCACCGTCGAAATTCAAAGACTGCAGAGTATTCTAATCCATGGTGCTTGCCGCTGGTCGGCTCGCCAGAAGTTGCGACGACGTGACCCCTGGTCATGAATTGTAAGGTATCTTTCGCACTGGAAGGCGATGACAAAGTGGTCACTCTTGCCCAGCGGATGGAGGATTGTTGGATCGGAGACATCAGATGGGGCCGGAGTGAGCACCAGGTTGAGGTACAATCAACTGTAAGAAGTAACAAGTAGATGTGTTGTTTAACATGCCCCAAGTTGATAACTTTTTATTGTCGTCAGGTTTGGAATACCTTTTTCTTATCAACACAAAAGTATAGCTGATTTGACTGCCCATTTTCGTCGACCCCATTAGCAAACGATTCCTCAACCTCACATCATTTGTTGCTCACTTACTACACTCCTAATCGTGTTACTGTTGTCTGGTTGTTAATGATGACCCTAATGGATGACCCGCTCTTAGTGTTTACTTTTGACATTACCCCTTACTTTTTATATTGTGTACACGTTGCGAACGCTTGCTCTGTACTTACCAAGGACCAGCCGGCGCTCCGAGCGTCATAGATGCCGTTAGTCCATCAAATCGGAATGTATGCAACTCACTTTCACCGACAAAATGGCAATTATTGTTGGTTCTGCGTAGCCATGAGCTAAGACTCTGGAGTGGGGCGTTTTGTTGCCATACTATAAGGTGACCAAGCAGTCCCACATTCTATAACCCAGTGATCTGAAGTCATGTTACCAGTTTATTTGATTCGCTGTCAACCACAAACTTTAGCACAAGTGAAGGGTGTTCTTTGAGATTATTCGACCAATTTACGTTTGTCAACTTATTCCGCTTTTCCGCTTCCCATTTCGCTCATTCTTTTAGTGCGAAACTTTACTATGCTCCGGATTCACACGCTGAACTCACTGAACTACGTGGCTTTGTTTCGCCGTGTACTGATCCAGTTCAGTTTAGGCGGTCAGTATTATGACCGACGTTCGGTGCCGGTAATGCAAGACATCGTGCGCGACACTGAAAATCGTGAGGCTCGATGGGTCTCAATTGAGCTGGGTTACCGTGTTGCAAGGTTTGTTCGTGTGACCTTGTGGTTCGACTACGATTGGATTGTGCTTTCCGAAGTGGCGTTTGATTCAAGTGAGTATTATAAATAGACCTGTAATTCATTCTTACCCGAAATGGCTCGGGATCACCTTTTATATGTGCACTTCTAGGCTTGAGCCGATTTGTGCATTCTGAGTAGGGCCGCTTTCAATTTACCGTACCGATGAATGGGGTTTAGCAAGTTCACTTTAAAATCCTACCAGGTTGATACCCCATTCGGTCGGACAAGGAAGTCTCATAGCTGTCCTGGTGTCATCTTGTTTCAATATTCACTGGATCTACGCGGTCCTATCTGTTCTTAGTTGAGTCTGCATCTTAATGTTGGCTGAATACAATCCTCAGCCCATGCTCTCTGCGGTGCTTTGTCGCTACGGGATGTACTCCGAGCAGTGAAAACAGCCAATATCCAGTTGAACCGATCCGATGTCTACCAAAGGAAGTGCCGAAACTCTGCCAGGAGTTTATTTTCGAGCATTCCCTTGTGTTCTTACATGCTCCTGTTGCTTTGATAATCAGTTATCACTTTTGGCTTTAAATGGGTCATTAAATTGCACATGATCACTGTTCATAGTCCATATCAACAGAACATTGAACACGTTGTTGTACATGTGCGCAAGTAAACGAGGCGCCTACGGACCAAACGCCATTAGGTTATACAGCTCTATTTATCTGTTTCGCCTTTATCCGTCCATCCATTGTCTCAGCTAGTTTGGTGATATCTTTCGCTCCGCATGGACGACTGTTGTATGTTGCTCTTTTCTTTCTTGCTCATTTGCATAGACATTATCATCCAACCCACAGGAAACTAGTCTGTTTTGTTCATCTTGGAAACGAAGTGACGCTTTTGATGCAAAGCACAATGGTCATCCCCTTGGTGCAGAGTGGCTTTGAACAAAGACGTCAATCGCGTTCTTTTACAATTTCTAATTTGTCAAGAACAGAATGGTATGCTAGTGTTGAGAATGCATGCAACTGCGATTATTCCATGAAATCGCCATCCACCTTTGGGAAAATGGATACATCACAAATGACGGACTACTCCGACAAGTTTTCATAACCACACTAAGTTAAAATGACTTACAGGCAAACATAATTGGCTGATGCTAGGGATTGAGAATACTCCAGCAACATAGACATTCAATAGAACATACTAGCCATGTAACCCACTGTACACCACCTAGCAAGAATGGTTCGGTATTCGTTATTCCATGTTTGTAAGTGTGGATTCCGGTCCCATGCGCCAAAGCAAAATGTTTGCTACTCCACTAGTGGATGGGGGAATGAATATGTTAGTTTTTGATGCATGTAAGGGTTTGTGATCGTTCAGCGTATCGAAGGCTGGCTCTCATATGAGCTCTCCAAGGTGATCAATTTTCTCACCCCTTCCGGATAAAGTCGAAAATGCAATTCGATGTTCTGGCAGGCAACAGCAAATATCTATCTGCCTCATCAGTTACCGTCCCACTGATCTATCTGACCGACGTTCTTTTCATTGAGAATCGCGGTTCACAATGAGATTGCGTGTCTCAATTCACTCACACAGCGTGTAATTCGAAATGACCATGCAATCTGCAATTCAGTTTAGTATGCAACCTGACTTTCACGTGACATTCATGTGTTGACCTATGTGGTCCAGGAATTCCACCATATCGCCTAGGTTCTAACGAGATACTGAAGCAGACGCTGTTAGGGGCATGTTGACCTCTTTTATTTTGTCTTCCCATAAAAGAGAGCAACGGTCGGGACTACACCCTTGGTTTTAGGGATACACCAGCACAAGTTCAACGTGACCTCTGCCGTCATACTGGAAGATACGGTCTCGGGGTTTCAACCTCAATGAATTGTTTATGTTGGTACGCATAGTTCCTGTAAAACGCTTGTACCACATCTCTGCACCCATTTCTGTTAGGCTGTGACTCATCATTCTAGAGTGCCCTGTGCCAACCCGATTAACTTCGAGTTCACGATTCCCATTAGGTCGCTATCGAACTATTTTTGGACAGACTGAAGCGAATTCGACTTCGATGTGCGTCGGTGTCCGGTCGAGGAACCGGTGCACTTGCGTTGAACAAAACTGGCTGCACGATATTGTCAGTTGAGGCGATTCAGACAAGTTTACTTTGAGGATGATTGCCTCATAAAATCCACTGGTGAGGCCGTCTCATTTTTCCGACGGCAATTTTTGCACTAGACCTCCTGCCTGCATGTCCCTCCGGCTAATGACAACCACTGGTACTACATTCCGGTGTTCCCTTTAACTTTCCTCTAAGAGCCTGGTTCCGGTTAGACCAGGCATTCTCACCCATTATTTAGCCGTTACCCCCTTTGGAACCTTCTCATTTCTCATGGCCCCCAACCCTTAGTTACCACAAATTCAGCACTACGCAACGCCTAACAGACGTAAATATGTGATTTTTAGTAGCCATATTGGTATCTTGCTATGATGGCCCCCTTACAAACCACATTTTTAACATTCACAGCCTCAAGCTAACATTCATTTTGTGGCAGTATCAGACAGTCAAGTGGTCTGTAATTGCACAAAAGTTGTCATTAATATTTATAATTGTAGCTAATTATTGTTGGCTATTAACTGTAAGGCACGTCGTGAATTTGGAGGTGTACTAACTAACTTTGTTACGATATTAATGCGAACCTTGAGCCTGCTGCCCTTGAGCAAGCTTGCTTATGTCCGACTGCAGACTTGACGGCAAGTCGAAGATCTGTTTCTGTTATGTCCAATCTGTTTATACTATTTTTGGAGAAGCCACTGCCGAATCCACATTCAATCAAGTATGTGGATGGAAAAGCAAAATAAATCTATTTCAGCTGGTTCCTACAGTCTGGGATCTCTGTTAGGGGCATCAATCTTCAACCAGAAATCCTTTTTATATTGCGTGAATTTAAATCATGCTAGTGTCACTTTGAAGCTGTATGAGACTTTCCTGGATTTTCAATCCAACACCGCGGATTTGTACGCAAATGGATCTAAAATCCAACTCGGGATTACTATGTCAATCAGGTCATGAAACCTATCTTTTATATCTTTTCAGAATGTTGCTGTAAATGACTGGCATAAAAAACGTCTTTATCTTTCAGCTCCCCTTTGTCTGTAGAGAGAATTGGGAACTATGCAAATTCCCGACGTCCGATATTTTGAGCACAAACTTCCAGTTCTTTTAAAAAAAGCGATAATAGGTTCTTTGCTCGAGATGAGATTACTCAACTTGCCCCGAAGAGTTATTCAAAAACATCAGCCAGATAAAGCACGTCTGGCTTAGTTGTGGACAGTTTTCTTTTATAATCAGTTCTAGCAATGAATGTGTTGCTGGTGTCCCAAAGTGCAATAAAACGGCAAAAATGAGCTGCAACAGTAGAACCTAGAAGTCTCCACTTTTCTCCTCACATAATTGCCGGAAAAGATAATTTGAAGAGGATGCGCCTTACTATTGTTGACTAATATTATAACAATTGACAGTGAAGCTTAGAAGCGCCCTCCCAAATTCTTAGCCACTAGGTACTCTTGATGAATCGCGCGGTGCATTGTGATCAGAAGGAAGAAAATGTTTTAGGTTGGCAATAACTCCTTTATACCTTCCGACGATTGCGGCAGCCCCATCTGTTGCACAGGCAACTATGTGCTGTATTAAAATGGAGTTTCAGTCAGGTAGCTATTGACTACCTTTAATATAGACTGGCCGTTTGTATGAGATCTAACTCTCCTGGCAAACGGCATCTCTTCCACTAATTCATTATCATTGAAGAACCGGACATATGCCACAAGAAGACCGTCATTGTCAGGTAAAGTATATGCATCTGAGAGTAACGAAAATTTTCCGGAGTAAAAAGTAACTACGGTACATTATATGTCCTGAGCTGTCTCATCTATTCGCCTAGATGCAGTCGAAGTGTTGAGTAGAATGGTTCGAACTGCTTCTTGCGGATTCATGTCCATCAGGTCTGACAGTATTATTGATGCTGAAGGCAAGCTAATATTTTCTTCAATACTAATTGCACATCAACTTTTGGCAATCAACTAGGGGAGTTACTAGAATACCGTCAGTCCATTCGCCATTTTTTGCCCTTTCAGAAACCACAGTCTTTAAAGTTGGTCTGTTTTCGAAACCATCTCTTAGCTTTCCGAAAAAACCCACAGACTATCCACTTCCTCCTTATGAACACTATTCAAATAATTTTTCAGTTTATATGGTTGCATACTTTATTTGAATGAGTGTTTTGTTAAATAAAACACGTAAGTATAGTGGGGTATTAATATGAGACGAAAAATCCAACACACTTCTTCGCCGAATAGGTCCTTTCTGAAGTGTCATTGTATATTGTTAATATATATATATATGTATATATATATATATCTATATGTGTATATATCGCTTTTGTTTTATCGTGATCACACAGTTACATACCATCGCAATGAGGCTGGACCTAACTGTAGCGCGATGGTTTGCGTGCGTCAGAGATCCATTGGGCTATGTTGGGTGATGCATTTGTGCATATTCATACCAGATTGGTCAATGGTTAGAGGCCAGACAAACTCAGTCTGCTGGCCCTCCAAGTTGGGCGTTGGAGTGAGCGTGGTTCCTTACTCCATAAAACGGACTCGCTGTAGTCCAGTGCCAAAACCCCGCTGCTTTGCGGTCAGGTTTTTGAACCAAAGGCTTTGGTTGAGAACGCTAATCGTTCTCCTGTCTAGGCATGGGCAACCTTACAGTATTCTGCCCACGCAATACAATGAACCTTTCTTCTAACAATTACTTGATACGCTCTCTAGCCGTCACAGATGATGGTCAACGGCGCCCTATCTGCTGCATGGAGCAGGATGGATAGGGGTATGAATACTACTGCTCACGCCTTCCCGTCTTCTTAGCACCCTTCTTGCGCTTTTCGTCCTTATCGTCCCGTCCAACTTTACTTTTATCCCCCATTTCAATCCCCCAATTCTTGGCCCTCCCCCACTATGTTTCAATAGTCTCTTGCCTTCTAGTTGCAACTCACACACAGTCGCAGGGCGTCGCTCC